TGAGCATGACCATTTTACATCTCTTTTCATTGTACAATTTATGATAGTTTTATTCAGACACTCAATAAAAATGACAATATTATGACATATATACTTTTATACATGGTGTAATATATTGTAAATCTTACTGACACTGTAAGAGCCTGTAATTCTTGTCACTGTCAGAGCAATCTTACCCGTTCAAGTGTAATTTCTTCATATTCATAATCAGCTTCTGTTCCATTCACCTGAGAGTTCAAACAAAACGAATTGTGTCAATATACAGTGTTAAAATATACAGATATAAATGAATGGACTCCTCTATTACTGACACACACACACACACATATATATATATATATATTTATTTATATATATATTATTCAGTAGTTTTAGAAATGCAGTGTTAAAAAGTGTAAATTGTGACAGAATCTCCATCAATGTAAACATCAGAATGTGTGCTATTTTGTGACTCACTTGAAGGACAAACCTTTCTTTAGACTTAAAGGGATAGTTCACACAAAAATGAAAATTCTGTCATTAATTACTCACCATCATGGCGTTCCAAACCCGTAAGACCTTCGTTCATCTTCGGAACACAAATGAAGATATTTTTGATGAAATCTGAGAGCTTTTCTGACCCATAGGCAGCACCACAACTACCACATTCAAGGCCCAGAAAGGAAGAAGAAATTTTTGTTTTTAGGTAGTTGTTGTTATTTTTGTTTTCTTAGCGTACAAAAAGTATTCTCGTAGCTTCATAACATTACGATTGATCCACAGATGTCACATGGACTATGTTAAGGATGTCCTTACTACCTTTCTGGGACTTGACAGTGGTAGTTCTCTTGCTGTCTATGCAGGGTCAGAAAGCTCTCGGATTTCATCAAAAATATCTTAATTTGTGTTCCGAAGATGAACGAAGGTCTTACGGGTTTGGAACGACATGAGGGCGAGTAATTAATGGCAGAAATGTCCTTTTTGAGTGAATTATCCCTTTAAGTTATTTATGAAAAAATGGCCAGTGTTTCAAGATTAAACAGAGCTACAAATAAAACTCCAGTCCAGCAATCGGCATCCTGTTGTGCAGGTCTGTGAAGGATTAGCTTTTCCTTTTGAATATGAAATTAGCTGTCAAGATGTCAATCAGAGCTCTGTAAGGTTTAGTGAGTCTGTCTTTTTAATTTCTGCAGGTTATAAATGTGTGTCTGCAAGAGAGACTTCAAACTACATTGCAACTGAACTACTGTAACTGCTAAGCAAAACTGAAGTGAACTGTGGCTAATTACTATTTGCAAAATAAAAAAATAAGATACACAATAATATCCCAAAATTAATTTCACAAAAAAAAAATGATGCCAATCAATCCAGCTTTACAATTACACAGAACAGACCACAAGAGTGACACTTTTCAACAGTTTTGATTTCAGATAAATGGAGCCCCGAACATGACAAAATACATATTGTGTCCACAAATTAAGAATTTTTTCCCAGGATGTATTCATTTGTAGCCATGTGTTATTAATTTGTACCTCATTTCAGTTTAATTGTGGCCATGTTGTACTAATTATTTCCCTCTTAGGTCACAATTTACCTTAATTAAAACTAATATATTAATCCAATCAAAACTGATAAGTAAACAAGCAACAAATTCTTGATTCAAGGCCACATTATGGCCTTGAATCATATAGTTCTGTATGGAGACCTGCACATAACATACAGGGGGGAAAACAACCCCCCTGTATGTTATGTGCAGGTCTCCATACAGAAATATATTCCCCATTCATTTTCTTTACAGAAATCCTAAATATAATAATTGTAAGCCTTGAACCAAACCAGTGAGCCAGCTCAGAAAAGAGTTACAGAAAATGCATTACAGATAGTAAATAGTAAACAGTTTTATGTTGACATTATCAGCTAGCCAGCAATGTACCTAGCTAATGTTAGCTACTGTAGCATTACTTAGCCTTTGTGAACTTTCATAACATTTGTCACAAAATTTCCATGATATTTCCATGGTCTAAGCAACTCTTACAGTAACACAAATTGTGGCTAATCATTTCAAAATCATGGCTAATCATTAATTCAGAAATTAAACTGTAATAGAGCATTGCCTACATGATGTGGACTGTGCACTGTTGTGGGAGAGGATCTGACGCAAGCACATATCTATGGGAGTTCAGCAGATTCCAGCTCTACAGGAGCAAGAGTGAGTATTGCCATGCTGTCAGTGAGGAGATATCCGCTGAAACTGGCCCTCTACGCAGGCCGTCTGTGTCAGCGTTCCCAAACAAAAGCGATCTGATCCACAGCCGCTTATCCAAGCACCAACCACAGCCAAAGGAGACGTATATTCAGTTACAACAGCCCAGTTCACTCAGTCAACAACAGACACATCACTGTAACTACTAATTAGAAAGGGTTTCTGTTTCACTAACACTCACTCTCAGGGTTATGGCAGAGACTTGAGACTGTGGTATGTACTATGGAGCTACATTTGAGTGACAGCACAGAGGGCATTACCAATTCAACCACAATGTTTTGTCCTGCCTAAATTGACCAGTGTAACTTACATAAGAATCCATATACACTGCGTGCTATTATGGCAGTGGTACAGTAGTCATGGCCTGTGATCTCGGAGTTAAAATTAGACTCAATCATTAGCATTGCTCAGATAGACTGGTTTGGAGTTCAGCCTAAAGCTCCCACCAATGTCTCAAATGAATAGCAACCCCAAACATTCTTCACTTTAATTCCGCACAATACAGGCTCCATTTTAAACTATCATGTACATATAAAATGTATCAATATTATACTCATGACACTATCCCAAAATTCCTTTTCAAGTGTATAAAAGATATTAAACATGTTCACTACTTAGCAAAGTAGTGTCAAAAGTATAACCCAAAACATTTCATATTTTGACACATCTTCTTAAAAAAAGTACTACAGTTTTGGACTGTAAATTCAACTTTGGTCCCACTTTATATTAGGTGGCCGAAACTACTATGTACTTACATAAAAAAAAAATAAGTACAGTGTACTTATTGTGTTCATATTGTATTGCAAAACACTTCTGCTGCTACTGAGGTGGGATAAAGGTAAGGTTAGAGACAGGTTTGGTGGTATGGGTAGGTTTAAGGGTAAGTTAAACTGTAAGGGATGGGTCAACAGTGTAATTTTTAAAAATATAAGTACAATGTAAAAACATGTATCAACACAATAAGTACATTGTATCAAATGCTTAATTAAATGTAAGTACATAGTAGTTACCTAACATAAAGTGGGACCTAAATTTTTGCATTTTGACAGTCTGGATCAAACAATTAAAACACACACACACACACACACACACACACACACACACAGTTCTGTAAGTGTCTGTAATATTTTTACAATGTTTTTTAAAGAAGTCTCTTATGCTCACAATGGCTGCATTTATTTGATAAAAGCACAGCAATAACTGTAATATTGTGAAATAGTTCTAATATGCTGATTTGGTGCTAAAGAAATCTGTCTTTTTATCAACTATATTGAAATAAAGTTAATATTCAGTTAATATCTTTGTGATTTGTTTTCAGGATTCTTTGATGAATAGAAACGTTCTAAAGCATAGCATGTACTGTACACTATTTGAAATGGAAATCTGTTGTAACACACATTATGATCTAAAAAAAAAAAAAATCTTATTGACCCCCAAAATTTTGAATGGAAGTGTACACATTTATATTTTTATGTCTGTCAATTAAATTTAATACATGTCACATGAAGCTGATTTACATTACTGTATATCGCTTTCTCCAATATTAGTTTGCAAGGCCCTGGCAACCAAAATGACACTGACCAAATCTTGAGAAACAACAACATAAACATCAAAACAACATAACTGAATTCCAATGTAACCTTAGCTGAAATTCAAATCCTCGTGCCTCAGCTTCACCATCCCTCAACTCTTAATAAGACTCAGTCCCACATACCTTCTCCAGTGAAAACGTGCCCCAAGAATTGGCAAGCCACAAGGCACTGGAAGAAGCTCTGACTTTAGCTGTGCTTTTAGTGGGGCTCTTTTTCACACTGTCCCTCAGGTTGGTGAACTTCCCTCTGCTCTTGGTGGAGGCTGGAAGGGTGCAAGAGCTGTACTGCGG